CATTTGTGTGGCTTCTCCTTTCATATCTTTATTTATTCAGTACCTTTTGATAGAATACCAGGAAACAACTTAGACCTTCATTTTTTTCCTTTCAGATCTTACTTCTGAATACCATCCTTCCCAAACTTAATTACCATTTCTGTACCAATAAAGCAGGGCTGTCTCTCTTTTCCTGGCATTCTGCTCACACTGCAATATTCCTGCCTCCCTCTGACATCTCTCACTGAACGTCTTACCCTCTGACTGTTGAGAATGCTACTGCAAAGAGTATTTTCCTGCCTCACCCCTTTAACATGGAAGTCCCACCTTTTAGATCCTTCTGGCTACTTCTTCTCTCACCAAGCCAGAAGCTCCTTGCCCTCATTTTCAAAGGACTTCACAGACTCTCCATGCTTTGTGTATTCCCCCTCATTCAGCATTCAGGCTTAGGAGCACCAGTGCTGGCCAGACTGCAAGGCTTCTTGCCACAGGTACGTAACTGCAGTGTCAGAACACGAAATATGGGGTATGAAGGAGTAACAGAGATTCCTCAAGAATCTCCCTATGCCCTTGAGGCTGCAAAGGCAGCTCCAAACTGCTCTCAAACCACGCTGTTTTTCACTGCTAATGAATTAGCTGGAGAGCAGAAGCAGCATTCATGAAGCAGGTCTTCCTCTCTCATGTGGTCAGATCTTTTCCTCTGAAGCCATGTAGGACACCAGATGTGTGCCAGCACCTGCAAAGGACAAGCTGCTGGCTCTGGCTGAGCTTTTAGCTCTTAATATSCAAGTCCCAGAGCCACTAACTCAGATCATTTATTCCCCTTCTTCTACCATCAGAGAGATACCTGCTTAAGTTGTAAATTCAGAAAGCTGGAGGTTTTATGCAAATATCTCGAATGATATATTGCATGATGATGAATATGCATCATTCAATTTRCATTAACCCCCAACAGTACATTCCTTCAGTCTTTCACTTTTCTTCCCYGTCAACACCACATTCTCTCCCCTTCTCCACTCCTCTTCTGTCTGTTTCAACATTGGACTTACCCTACCATCCACTGGACATATCTGACCATATCCACTAAATGACCTGGCTCACCACCAACCTTTTGGTTCCTAACCTCCCTCTCCATTTTTATTCCCCAGGCACTTCTTCACATCCATTCCTCAGTTCTCTCTGACTAAGCCCTCCCCACCTTCTTCCTGCAATTTTGTTCTCTGTCACTTCTCAGGTCAGCACTCCATTTTTCCTGGATAAGGTCCCCAAAATGCTCTCATCCAGAGTGAGACAAAGATGTACAATAAGAAACTAATGGAACATCAATATTAGATCAAAATCAATATAATTTTCGACCATCAATCTCACACTATTGTGTGACACACACTGAAGTCACCAARTATTATTTTAATATCTAAGGTATATATTCACTAAACACAACAAAACCTCTGGACAGAACAAAAGAATTATCACTGATTACACCATTATAATCTGCAGTCTTCATCACTCAGTAAGATGAGTGATCTTATATCTGCAGTCATAAAGACCACCTGCACTCATAAGGACCAGTTTTCTATTGCTCGTAGGACTAAAATTTATTTTACTGGGTTRAAAAGTGCAAGTTTGCCTGACTGTGAGATTTTTGTTAGGCGGTTCCCTAGGACTGCTCCCGATGCATGCTTATGATTTTTCAGTTTTGGGTTTTTTTGTTTTTGTTTTTGTTTTTAATTAGAAAAATAAAGCAACCAAAAATTTAGCACTTCTGGTAGCAAGGTGTGGAAAAATACTTGACTTTTCCTTGTGAGCTCCAGTGTTTGTATGATTTGAAGACCTGTATTAGGTAGAAGATTAATCACATGGGCTGAGAATATTCCTTTTGTTGTCTGCTTGGAAAATCATCAAAACTTAGCCAAGTTTCAAACCTTGGAAAAAATCAGCTACCCAATGCTTATAAGACAGGGTTTTTTTGTTATAATGGATAAACCAGGGAGTCCTCTTTTACTCGTACAGTCCACTGTAGGCCTACATGTTGGTAGAACCAATAACATCTGCTCTATTTAAATATCCAGTTGGATGTTCTAAAGATTTGCAATAACAGAAATAAAAATCAGGGAAGTCATTTCAATTTTTATTAGTACTGTTATTATTATAATTGCTACTGTTATTATTATAATTGCAAAGCTTCTCTTATCGAAGTGCTGTTGCTTAATGCTAACCATATATTCCATTGATCGAATAAATAAGATCAGATAAGTCATGGAGCAATAGAAGTCTTTAGGATAACTCTGGAGACTATTTAACTAATAAAATGGGGTGATAATGGRCACTTTACCAAGCATCAAGAAGATAAAGAAGAAAAATGTAGGTTAGGGACCTTAAGCTACTGGGGAGTGAAACAAATTCCAAGACAGATACTCCCAACATTAGGGAGTAAGGTAACTATTAAGCCATTACTAACAGCATGAAATAAATGAAGAGTACCTGTGAACTGAGCTTTTAAGATCATATATTCGTTCTCCATTACATATTAGTATGCCTTAGATAACTGTGTGTCCCTTAAAGACAAAATTTTATATGCAAAGCCCTAAAAAAGAGCAACAGTGTTCAGAAGCTAGATAGCATTTCCTCTGCAATTGCAAATCTGATCGGCAGTACTGCTCTAAGCACAGGAAATTATSTCTGAAACTCGTTACAGATCTCCCTTCCTAATACAATATAGATTAGGAAGTTGTTTTTTTTTCAGTGCAGAGAAAAGGGGACCATGACCACCTGTGGTCAGCAAAGTGGAACAGATTAGAAAAAGTAGGTTGTGGGAATAGGATGAGCAGCAGGGTAGAAAGCATGGGGWGGGGAGCGGGGTGTGTGGAATAGAAGAGGGCATGGATAAAAAGCTGGAATTTGGAACTARCAGCATGAAATAAATGAAGYGAAAGGGAAGAAGAGAAATGTGGCAAGGGGCCAGGATGTAGGTAGAGACAGAATAATCAGAAAAATGAAAGCTGAAAATGACACGTGAGGAAAAAAACCACTGAGAC